AATATCCCACTCAAATCTCCCCTTTTCCAGCGGGAAGCCATTCCCTTGTCCCGTCCCTCCATGGCTTGTCCCCAGTCCCTCTCCAGCTCTCCTGGAGCCCCTTTAGGCCCTGCAAGGGGCTCTCAGCTCTCCCTGGAGCCTTCTCTTCTCCAGGCTGGCCAGCCCCTCCCCTTTGGTGAATTCCAGTGGGAAGACTGTCAGTGCCTTTCAGAGAAGTCAAGGATTAATCCAACCTGCATCAAGAAGTCCCTGTGGGTGCTGACAGAGCAGATGAAGACCCATTGCACGTTCCCTTTCTGTGGTGCAGTTTTGGTGTCCCTGACCCTGGACAGTTGGGTTCAGACCCAAGAAAGCACCCAAAAACTTGTGCAGTGCCAAACATGGGTGTCAGTGTGATTCCAGGAGCTGCCTCGTCCCCCAGCCCTGCCAGGGCCCTGTTTTTCCCTAGAAGGATCCAGCAGGGTGGAGTGATGGTCCTGCAGTAACCTCTCATGTTCCAGGGAGGCATTTTGGGCACACCAGGAACATGCAGCCAGGAATCCTCCTCTCGCTGATGAGAGAGCTCAGCGTCTCCACCTCAGGACAGCTCAGCCAAAGCTGGCTGGGAGTCAATCCAGATAATGCCTGGAATTCTCACTGTGGAGCAGCAGGAGGGGCTGAGGGAGCTGGGGGGGTTCTGCCTGGAGAAAAGGAGGCTCAGGGGGGACCTTCTAATTTCTGAACCATTTCTTTGCCTCCTGATTCCCTTCTCCTCTCTGTCCCTGACCTCTCCCTGAGCCCTCTCTCTCTGCAGCACATCCTTGACCCCAGCTGGAACAGGAACTCTCAGAGAAGTCAGGAATGTCACTGATGTGTGAAGGAGCAGCTTATCTGAGCTCAGAAAGTCTATTTACAGCCTCCCTTTCATGTTCTCTCCTAGCAAGGAGTACAACTACAATGTCTCCATTCTCTTCCTCGATTAGTCCTGTTATTCAGGAAACTCTGGCAGCTTAGCAACACATGCTGATGACCTAAAAAACTTCCACACACTAAAAGGCAATATGTGGGGAACAGAGAAGAGCTCAAGTGGAGGAGAAAATAGTGTGGGAACAACTGGAGTGTCCACCCACCTCCACACCCTTTTCCTTGCCTTTCATCCCAAAGGATATTTGCTATCCATACCAGTCAGCAAACAAAACTCCCATCTCCCAAATGGCTGTCATCCATGTTTGTTTGGCTGCTCTCCCCTTATCCTTTAATTATCAGGAGCAATTAGGTTTTCAGTTATAGCTTTCACAGAAAACAACCCAAAAATGCTCAAAACAATCCCCTTAGAACATGAACACATTCCTGCATCACTTTTGCGGGATGATTTTGATGTACCCACATGATACAGAGTTACTTCCAATCCTTATTACACTCTGGAATAGCTCTGATATCCCTCTTGGTGGCTTGGCCCCCTGGTATATATAGTTCTAGTATGTAATGTTATTCTGTAATAAACTGATACTTGGATCCATAAAAAAAAAAAAAGACTGATTTAAGGGTTGGGGGTGTTTTCTCTTCTGTAGGGAAATACCAACTGTTTTGAAACCACTTCTGTGGCAAAGATTAGGAATCACAGAATACCAGGGGGGGACACTTTGGAACAAGATCAAACACACAGAATTCATTCCGCAATTTCCTTTTTTCCCCTAAATTTTCATTATTTTTTAACTCCTCCGATTGTGCAGGTTCCCAGCCAGCCTTACCTGCTCCTGCCTCATGTGCTCCATCATCTCCATGGCACTGATGAAGCGGTGACAGGGCTCTGAGTGCCCCACCAGGGCCGTGGGGAAGGGCCGGCTCTGCCAGAGGCTCCACTCGCACAGGGACAGCTCCTGAGCCGCCCCCTCCTGCTGCTGTGGGGAAGGAAGGTGGGAAGAGACTGGGATCAAGGCACTGTCCAGCAGAACTCATGTGCTATCCATGTCAAGTGCTCTGTCAGCACTTGAAATGCAGAGAAGTATTTAAACATCATCACAAAGGTGTAAGTCTGGTCTAAAGTTAAAACTCCACGAGCAACCTGGGCTAGTGGGAGGTGTCCCTGCCCATGGCAGGGGGTGGGTGAGATGGGCTTTAGGGTCCCTTCCCACCCAAACCATCCTGGGATTCTATGAACACAGCATCCTGCAGAGACTTAGGATATTTTTAATTTACAGACCCAATCTCAAGGACCCATTTCAAACATCTCACTGCTAAATTCTCAACCTCAAAACTTACATGTAAATCTCAAAATGGCATTTTTAATACAGACCCTCTTCAAACTCAGAGTTACCTCTGTTATTTACAGTATCCTTTAGGCCTCGTGCAAAGGAAATATTACATTAAAGTCAAACTCACTGGTATTTCTTCCAGGTTTTCTAAGGTTTCAAACTGAGTTCGAGGCAATACTGGTTCCTTTATTCCATCACTCTCCTTAATCCTGTAGAGCCTGTCCCATGTTTCATATTCCTCAGGTGACAGGGACCAGTTCTCATGAGAGAAAGTTTGCTTCTGGCCTATGGGGGAAAACACAAGAGCAGGAAAATGTTACCTGCTTTGGGAAAAGGGATGCACAGAATAAAAGGACACCAGTGAACAGAACAAACACCTTCCCTGTGCCACGAGCAAAACCAGGAGCACAGGGTGGGACATCAGGGACAGTCCAACAGTGTCCATGTGTTATATGGACAAAGCTGTCTGGGAAAGAATCACCCAAGGACACAGGGAGACAGACAGACAGAAATCACTGCCCACAATAATGGCACATCCCCCAAAACAGCCGTGGGTGGGGATGGCAAAGGAACCTCCACAGAACCAGTGCTGAGCACGGGGCTGCTGTCAGGGCACCTGTGGGAAGCTTGGAGAGGAATAATGAAGTTAATTTGCCAGTGTCTCTGCAGACAGGATTTGGGATGAATGTGCAGCCCAGGCTCCGCTGGGAATTAATTCCAGATAAGAGGAATCAGCCTGTGTCTCTCAATCCTCTCAAGTTACAGTTGCCAGAGTCTGTGTCTGCACAGGATGAGACTCAAACCCAGATCCCAGAGAGTCCAGAGTCCTGCTCAGAAAAAGCTGGAAAAATGAACAAACACTAAAGTTTTTTAAGGCCATCACTAAAAATCCCAGAAGATCAACACTGCTGTGAAGTATTTTTTACTCCAGTGTAGGAGATGTTACACTCCTTTAAGATAACACCCAGTTCAAGGACCTGGGAGAGGAGGAGAAAAGAGAGAGGCCTGAAGGAAAAGCAAATTAGGAACACTTTTCAGAGAAGCATAGAGAATCATGGAATCATGGAATGCCCTGAGCTGAAAGGGACCACAGGGACCATCCAGTCCAAGCCCTGGCCCTGCCCAGGACACTCCAACAATCCCCTCCATCCCTCAGAGCACTGTCCAAACCCTCCTGGAGCTCTGGCAGCCTTGGGGTCGTGCCCACTGCCCTGGGGAGCCTGTTCCTGGTGAACTGTTGCCATCCAGACACATCCAGGGAAACACTGGGAACAACAGATGACTTCAGCTCCCTGTGTTACAGCTCCAGCTCTGTGTGTCAAAGACAAGATGAGCCTGTGATACCATCAGCCCAGATAACACACGCTGCAACACTACCAAGAAGGCCTCCAGGGGCTGGCAAAATTCGAGAACAGATGCTTCCCAAAGCTCTGGGCGTCCTGCTTCTGAGCAGAGTTAGGATTTTGGCTGTCAAGAACAGTCCTAAGCATTTTTCTGGAAAGAAAGAAAGGGACACAGACACAAGAAGAACATTTCCATTCCAACTGAGACTGATAAGGCTGTTTGGGTACAGAGCTGGGAATTACCAAGTTCTGTGGCATTTAGTCCCTGCCAAAGCCTCTGCCCCTCATGTGAGGCAGCACATGCTCATTATCTTCCAGAACATTTTATGTTATGGATGCAATGTCCTACCAAACACAAACATATCATTCAATCATCCCTGTTATTGTCCTGGTTCTTCCCCAGCACCAAAACATTTTCATTCTCCTTGAATGGGGAGCAGAGCAAGAACCAGCCCAGAGGGGCACAAGGAGGTGGATTTAGCCTGTAGCCAGCAGGGAATTTGTCAGTTCTCAGAATCACAGTGTCACAGAATCCCTGAGGCTGGAAAAGCCCTCCCAGCCCATGGATCCCCCCTGTGCCCGATGCCCACCTTGTCCCCCAGCCCAGAGCACTGAGTGCCACGGCCAGGCCTTCCTGGGACACCTCCAGGGCTGGGCACTCCAAACCTCCCTGGGCAGCCCCTGCCAAGGCCTCACCACCCTTTCCAGGGAGCCTTTCCACCTTTGGAGCCTCAATCCTGGCCACCTTTGGCAAATCAACTCACCCCTGGCCACCTTTGGTGCCTCTCACCCCCCACCCCATGTGCCTCACCTGGTTGCCACAACAGGAACGTGGCAGCCCCAGCCCTGCCGTGCTGCTCCCTGGGCAGGAACACGCTCAGCATCACCACCTGTATGCCCTCACTGCTCTTTTCTAAAACAGAACTACAAACACTCTGAAATTATTATTTTCATTCCATGTTGTGCTCTGCTTATTTCCTCGCAGTTGTGTCCATTTAATCAGGTACTGGAATATGAAGTTTCCCAAGGCTTTAAGGAGTTGCTGTTGGTCTTCACAGAAAGCACTAACAAGCACTACAGAAAGCACAACAACTGCCAAGTATTTATTAAAAAGTAGGTCTTTTCTCCTGTCTTGTAACTGTGTTCACTTTCCTGGGCATTTCAGTGCCATGTAACTGCACCAGCTGAAGAGCCATTCCTCATTTTAGATTAATTTTCCTCCAAGGGTGTTCACAATTCATGAACACCCTGCCCTTGATTTCTCCTTTTCCTCCCTTTGCAATCCTCCTGATTTCAAGCACTGTTGTGTTATTGTCATTTATGAAACCATAACACCCAGAGAAGCTGTGGCTGCCCCTGGTTCCCTGGAAGTGTCCAAGGCCAGGCTGGATGGGGCTTGGAGCAACCTGGGCTGGTGGAAGGTGTCCCTGCCCAACCCAAATTATTCTGGGATTCTTTGATTAACATTTGCCTCTTCTGTTCACAGCGGGAGTTCCTGACCTGCAGTCAGAGATTCCATGGAGTCAGTGAACCAAATGCCTGACTCAAGGTAGGGATATTTCAGGCCAGAGCTGTGGGATGTCCAAGGAAAGGCTGAGGACCAGGCAGCAGTGGCAGCACAGTGTCCCAGGTGCCAGGAGTGGCCCTGCAGAGCCCAGAGCCCTGTGAGAGGCGGGTGGGATGTGCTGTGACACAAACACCCCACGGCAGCTTAGAGCAGCACCATAATCCTCTTACCAGTGACACAGGAAAAGGGAGCATATTTGTGCTGCAGGGAACTGCATCTTCTCTCCTTGCCCAGCCCTCTGGAGTTGCTTGGCTCGTATTTCTCAGCAGTGATAAACATTTTATGCACCCGGGGGTTGATGCCTTCTGGAACCATCCGTGGGCTGCGCTGGTAGAAATGCAGGGTTTTGTTCCCCGAAATGGCTTTGTGGATGCTCCTTTTGTTACACTGGCTCTGGTTGTAAGTCTGGAAGGAGAAGATAAAGAGAGAAATTATGTGTTGACTGCTTGCTTTGTCACAGGACTTGATCAAAACTCAAAGAGCACCTGAATGTCTGTGGGGTTTCTTGTTATTTTCTGTTCCCTCGTTGAGGTGGTTTTTGGTTTGGGGTTTTTAGCCAGAGCAGGAGCAGGCACAGCACTGGGGAGAAAAAGGAGCACAGCCCTGGGCTGGGGGAGGTTCCAATGTGCCACTGATACAGGGGTGATGGAAATGAGATTACATCAGAAACTGAGAAAGGAGGCCAAGCAGGAGAAAGGCAGAAGATGATTTGTTGATGTCATACACGATCTGAGTCCTTTAATTACACCCCACTTTATTGTGCAATAGAGAAACCAAGACAAGGCTGGAGAACACAAGGGAAGAAAGCAATGACTCTGAGACTGTCCTGTGCTCTCCTCTGGGTCCCTGGGACAGGCCACTGCTGGGGACTAATGCCCTGAGTGGGACAGTGTGGCAGCTACGACCTGGCAGAGATCTCTGGGGGCAGGACCAGAGGAGACAACCCAAACCAGGCCCCCTGAACACACCAGAGGAGACCAACAGCCAGCTCTGATGAACGGCCCCTCGGGCACTCCAACAAACAGCCTTTTCATCCTAGGGCAGCTCAGGAAATCCTGGGACAATCCTAGAAAGAAAAGGTCTTTTTATGGCAAAAAAATTGTGCTAGCAAATTCCTTCAGAGCATTGTCATCGTGCTGCTGTTCCCCTTCCCTGCTCCCAGGGGCAGCTCCGAGCCCTGCACCCCATCCCAGCAGCTCCGAGTCCAGCCAGGCTGAGCTGCTGTCCCAGGACAACAGGAAACCCCAATCCAAGCCCATTCCATCCCAGTTCAGGGCCCAGGACACATGTGATGTGACAGCTGACCCGGGAAACACGTGGGAGCTGAGGAATAAACACAGGGATCCCTGCCAGCCTCACACTGCCAGGCCTCCACAAACACCCTGCTCTTCAAAAGCTGGGTAATGGAATTCAAGTGGTTTGATAACAAAAACCAACAAACTAAACCAAGTAAAAAACCCCCAAACCCAAACAAACAAACAAAAAAAACCCCCAAAACACAAAGAAACAACCCTCCCCCCCAAATCTCCAACATTCCCACAAATTATGAGGGGCCATAACATGACCATTCATTATTCAGCTGTAAGTTATGTGATGGGAAAGAATGTCCACATTAACAGAACTGGAAGGAGACTCAATCTTAAAAAATCCAACAACTACCCCAAAAAACACCCCCCAGCAAAAACAACAAACAAACCAAACCAATATTGTTCAGCAATTAAATTTATTTCCTGATCTCAAAATAAAAACATTATCTACAATTACTGTTCTACCTGGGGAAGGTTCTGCTGCAGAGATTTCTGAGAAAATCTGGAGAACACAGTAATCCAGCTACTTAAGTGAAGCTCCAAGGAATTTAAGGGACTATTCTATATCCCATTACAGAGCAGAGCTCTCAGAAGGATCCAGCCTGCATAAGTAGCATGAGAAAACATCTATTCACAAACACCATTCAGGTTTATCATTTTTAACCCTCATCCCTTCAAAGCTGCTTTTTCCCCCCCTCAGGCAGGATCCTCTGCAGTCTCATCTAGAATTAAATCCCTGCCACCTACAAATACAAACCAGAGCGACAACAGCGACTGGAATACATGAAATAACAGAAATGTTGGGTTTACAATTGGTTTACACAGATCTTGCACTTAGGAGTCTGCATCCTCTCTCACCAGAGAGGTGGCAGCGGGGGCTGCCTGGCCTGGCCTGCCCAAATCCTGCCCTTTCCCACCCCTTGGATGAGCCCAGGCCCTGCAGGCCCATGAGATGCAGCTGGCACAGCTGATGGGGGGCTCCCTGGCTCACAGCCTGGGTTTGCAGTGCCCCATGGCATTCCCAAGGGACAGCCTGTACTCAGGGATGATTAACCATGCTCCAGTTGAGTGCTGAGGTTCAGGAACTCGGCCAAAGTGGATTTCCCCTAAGCTGATCTGCTCAGACCTCACACGCAAGAGCAGCCACTGAGCACTGCTCTGAGCTCACAGTGTCGTCACCAGGTCAGAACCAGTGCTCCCAGTGCTCCCAGTGCTCCCAGTGTCAGCATCTGATGACATGACAGGCTGGGAGAACTGGGGGGGTTCACCTGGAGAAGAGAAGGCTCCAGGGAGAGCTGAGAGCCCCTTCCAGGGCCTAAAGGGATAGGACACAGGGAATGGCTTTAAGCTAGAAAAGGGTAGATTTAGGTGGGATCTTGGGAAGGAATTGCTGGCTGGGAGGGTGGGGAGGCCCTGGCCCAGGTTGCCCAGAGAAGCTGTGGTTGCCCCTGGATCCCTGGAAGTGTCCAAGGCCAGATTGGAGCAACCTGGGACAGTGGAAGGTGTCCCTGCCCATGGCAGGGGGTGGAACTGGATGGGCTTTGAGGTCCCTTCCAACCTAAACCATTCCATGACTCTCTGACATAGTTTCCCAGGACAAACTGAACAAGGAGACTGAGGGCAGAGCTCAGGGGTCTGCAGCTCCTCCCGAGGGGCAGCTCCGATCTCTGCTCCCTGTGACAGGGACAGGACCCAGGGAAGGGCTGGAGCTGTGCCAGGGCAGGGTCAGGTTGGATCTCAGGACAAGGTTCTTCCCCCAGAGGGTGGTTGGCACTGCCCAGGCTCCCCAGGGCAGTGGGCACAGCCCCAAGGCTGCCAGGGCAGGGTTTGGACAACGCTCTGAGGGACAGGGGGGGATTGCTGGGGTGCCCTGGGCAGGGCCAGGGGTCGGTCCCTCCCAGCTCAGCCCCCCAGGCCGCACTCACCCTCTCCTCGCGGCCCTGGGCCAGGATGACGACGATGCGGCCGTGCCGGCGCCGCCCGGTCCGGCCCATGCGCTGCACCAGGCGCACGGGGCTGCGCTGGGCGTCGAAGCAGACGATGAGATCCACCTCCCCGATGTCCAGGCCCTCCTCCCCCACGCACGTGGACACCAGGGTGTTGTACCCGCCCTCCCGGAACCGCCTCACCACCTGCAGGGAGAGTTCAAACCCCAGTTACCAGGGCAGCACAAACGGCCCTGCGGGTTTCCTACGCTGGAAAAATTAATTTAACACTTTAAAACGACAAAACTTAGTCTTTCTAAATCAACTACTGCCTCTTGATCAAATCCCACCCACCAACGTGACCAACATCAGCACTTCAACTGTTTAATTCTAAAATGAAGGAAAAAAAGCACACCTTACTCTGACTGCAGCCATGGCATTCTTCTAAAACTGATCTTCCCAACTGTGCAATTAAATATCTTTGGGGTTGTCTTATTTTATTTTTTTTTTAACTTTGTTAGGTCAAAATTTAAGAACAGATCTTATCTTTCCTGCCTACGAGAAAAAAGAATTCCCTAAGCACACATTTGAATATTCCCCCAGATTTTTAATACGTGCGTGTCAACAGTTGTTAATATACAAATAAATAGAATGCAAATATATATATATAGTATATATATACACTATATAAATATATATACATATATAAATAGTTTATATTTACATATTCTGTTCAGTGAGTATAATTTTGGATACCCTGACAGGCACTGAACTCCACCAATGACAGTAGAAGTCCAGCCGCTTCCACACAGTGTGTACTCCTGGAGCTGTGCACACAATTAATGCTTTTTTATCACTATTTCCTGGTACAGCCTCCTCTTTTCTGTACCTCCAGCTGTTCCTTCTGGGTGAAGCCTTTGGTGCTCTTCCCTGTGGAGTGTCCCACGAATGTCATGGCGCGGACAGCCGGGCTGAGGCGGGACAGCATCTCCGCGATCTCCTGCACGCTGTCCCGGAAGGAGGAGAAGATCATCACCCTGGTGTCCCCACAGGGGCCTTCACTCCTCTCCTGATCTGTTGGATCAGAAGAAGAAGCAGGATTTTAGCAGAATTAGTAATGAAAAAGGACAGGGCATCAGACGAGTTACACGTTCACGGCTCCCACCTCACTCCATGGGAAAACGGGCAGAAAATGCTCCAAGATACATCTCTGGAAAAATTCCCTTTGGAATCAAAGCAGTGCTCTAATTTTGGAGAACTGACACCAACCACAGTAAGAATGTCCTACATCTGAGGTACCATCACCAAGGTTACTTGGGAAAGCTCAGGTTGGAGGGCAAGTGTCTTGGAATGAAGTTCAAGATTCCCTGTTCTTCCAGCCAGGCACTGGAACAGGCTGCCTGGGGAAGGCTGGAATCACCACCCCTGGAAGGGTTCAAAAGGCCTGTGGATGGGGCACTTGGGGACAAGTAATTCTTGGCCTCAGGCTGGATATCACAACTTTTATCCTCAAGCTCCTTAAATATGCTCATCTTAACTCTGTAGGAGGCAAAGGCAGCAGAGCCCTGAGGGAAGGGTCCAGAACAAACCCTGTGAGCAGGGCAAGCAGGAGACAGGGAAACACCAGGAGAGAGTTTGCTATCTCTGTTTTACTCAGCTGTTGGAGCATTTTACATCAAATTAACAATGAGAACTCCTAGAACATTTTATCTTACAGAAATTTTATGGTAAAGTCCTTCTAGAGAGGACTTGTCCACACAGAGGATACACAAACACACACACAGAGGATACACAAACACACAAATTAGCACAAATCAGGAGATGAATCAGTAGAATATCACTTGTTTCCACCCCCAGGTTCAACTGGTGGGCTACTTTTTGAGTTGCTGGTACTTACCAGAGCACCCCTTTTTCCAGGATTTGAAGTGTTCTATTACGATTTCCTCCAATTTCCTTAATTTTGGATGGCTGTAGATAAATTCCTTTTTCTTTCCCGACACTGGAAAGGCAACAAAGCAGTGAAAGACATCAGTAAACCTGCAACAAGCATGAAGGTTTAGTGAACTTCATTTCCTCCCACTGTAACTATCCGAGTCAGACACCCAAATTCCTGACACTAATTCTAATTGCACCAACCCACAGCAATTAATAAACTCGTGACAGAAGCACATTTGTAAAGCCCAGCTTTCTGAGAAAGCGCTGTTACTTTTGTTACAGTCACTCTGGAAAAGACACTTAGTCAAACAGTAATATTATAACCTTCATTTTACATCAAATTAAAATCTTCAAACACAGAAAACTGGTTTGGAAGTAGCTAAAACCACCAAGGGAAGAGAGAGAGGGAGTGAGAGAGGGAGGGGACTGTTGGGAAGACAATGTGGAGTGAAGAAGAGCAGCCAAGTGCAGTACAAGTTTTAAACAGGAATGCTGTGTCCCCGAGAGGGAAATCCTGACCTGTGTCACTCCTACAGACACCCCCAGTCTCTGGAGCCACGGCTGTGTCTGAGAACATGTCTCGGAGGTGCTGGTAGAGCTTCAGGAAGTCCTCGTTACGCCCCAGCTCGTTCTTCGTGCGGGTTATCCCTTTGGGAAGAGTTGGAACACCTCAGGATTCAGTTTGCTTTCCCAAATGTACTCTATCTTTAACACTGCTAATACATTTCCAGCTGGGACCAAGGGAATAAAGCACCAATTCCATTTGCAACCCACTTATTCTGTAAGTTGCCATACAGATGAGGTAAATGAAAAGGAGGGAGTGGAATGAAAGGAGGGATGTTCCTGAGGACATTTCACCTTTGGCTCCATCCATAATTCCCCAAAGGTAGATAAACAAGGAGCGGACTCCCATCTGCAGCAGCAGCTCATACCCGTGGTATAAACTGATACAAAGGGCAAAGTCCCCTTCGATGATGCCTTGGTGGATTCCCTGTGGAACAAAACAGACTCATCACTGAACCAGGAAGTGACTGAGGAGCAGGAATCACACTGCATCTCCTGACCAGAACCAGACTTGGGGCCGGGAAGCAGAGCCAAAGCCCCAGCTGATGCCCAGTGAGCAGTCTGTCTATCCCGGCCCTCAGGGAACAGATTTCACACAGCCCAGTGGAGACAATCCTTTTCCATCTCCAAAATACCTGTATTATCCTCCAGGATTAGCTCATCTCCCCTCAGCCTCTGACAGCTGAACCACCCACCCATCTGGATGTGGCAAAACAAGGGATTTCTGGCACATCTACCCAGGCTATGAAATGAAGGCAGGAAAGTTGCCTTGCTTACTGTGAAAGGGATTTCCCAATGTTCTTTCTAAGGTACACAGTGGTTTTTTAGGCAATGTTCTTTAAGATTACAAAATTTGACCACTCCCTGACAAGTTACAGAAAAATAGGAACAGGAATGTAGCTTTGGGGGGAAAGCGTGAACTTTGCTGGGAGGAAGTACAATCTAAGTCCTCAAAACAATTTCACTTTGGAAATGGAGTCCTTAATCTTTTCCTTAACTTTTCTATATTGGCATCAAGAAACATGGAACAGTTAAGTATATTTTGCAGATTTCATAGATGATCTTTAAGGTCCTTTCCAACCCAACCCATGCTATGATTCTATGATAATTCATTCCAGGGCTAAAACCAGAAATCAAACCCAGAAATCTACTTAAAATGTCTCAGGAAATTTGGTACCTATGGATAATTACTATTTACCCCCTACTTTAATCACATGAAATCAATAAAAGACACTTACCACATGCTGTGGAGAGGGGTTTTTCCTATACTGATCCCTTGCCAGGATGATCTGGTACTTGGTCAGGCTGGGAATGTCCCTCCTGGCCAAAACACCCATTCGGATCAGGCGGCCGGCGAACGCCTCGAGCACCTGCAACCCCAACACAGCCCCTTGAACCTGCTGCCCTGAGGATCTGTGCCTCCACTGCACACACAGACACCTCCTGCCTCCAGGATAACCCTGTGTCCACCCTGTAACTGGGACGGGGAAACACACCCTGAGAGCTGTAAGGGCACAGAGAGGGAAGGGAACGGGATGGACAGCCAGGCCTGCAGCTCAGGCTGCAGCTCCTTCTCTCACTGCTCACATCAACTTCAGGGGCAGTTTGGGCACAGAACACTCGTGTTTCTCTTCCACAAGGCCAGATAAGGTGAAGGGCTGGCCAGGAGGTCAGACACTGCACGTGGGAGGGATGGGAGATGTGAGCACAGAGGAATGAGCACCAGCAGCGGGGCCCGTTTCCCCTGGAATCCACCCCAAAACACACTTAGTTTTCACCCATCACATGTACCTGCTTTCCACATCGGTGCAACAAGCAGAATAACCTGCACTAATGCATCCTAATCCTGTTTTTCCTCTTTGTTTCCCAGCCTTAGGTGGTCAGGATTTTTGCACAGACTTAGTTTTGCGTGAGCGCTAACTCGGCCGTAATCGCAGTAATCAGATTTGTCCCACAAACGCTGTTTACAACCTGTTGGTCCCTTGGCCAACGGCCCCAAAAACATCTCAGGGCACAACAACAGGTTCTCCAAAGGCAGTTCCCTGTGCCTGCATCCATGCACACCATGTTTCGCGAGTTTTCCAGCCACTCCAGCAGCAGCACAGCTGCCCTGCACTGAGGGCTATAATGCAGCAAATGTCTAATCCCTTTAGAGTCCCTTCAGCCCTCTGAAGATCATCCAACTAAACCAATAAAACCAGGCCTAAGTCAGGCCTCCAACACTGATCCAGGCACGCCTGGAGCCTGTGAGGAGAAACTCAAACCAGAATCCCAGAATGGTTTGGGTTGGAAGGGACCTTAAAGCTCCTTCGTTCCAATCACCTGCCATGGGCAGAGAGACCTTCACAGAATCACAGAATACCCTGAGCTGGAAAGGACCCAAAGGACCATCCAGTCCAACCCCTGGCCCTGCCCAGGACACCCCAACAATCCCCCCCGGTGCCCCAGAGGATCATCCAAACCCTCCTGGAGCTCTGGCAGCCTTGGGGCCGTGCCCACTGCCCTGGGGAGCCTGGGCAGTGCCAACCCACCCTCTGGGGGAAGAACCTTGTCCTGAGATCCAACCTGAGCCTGCCCTGGCACAGCTCCAGCCCTTCCCTGGGTCCTGTCCCTGCTCACAGAGAGATCATTGCCTCCCACAACCCCAGGCTGTTCCAAGCCCCATCCAACCTGGCCTTGGACACTTCCTGGGATCCAGGGGCAGCCACAGCTTCTCTGGTAACCTGGGCCAGGGCCTGCCCACCCTCACAGTAACCAATTTCTTCCCAATATCTAATCTAAACATAATCTAAAATCCCAAGAAAAGGAGTGGGAATAACTGCCAGCATCAACAACAGCTGCATTAATCCCCCAAGGAATCAGAAATGCAGGAGAACTTTGGAAGGGTGAAGGAAAACTTGTGCCAGCAGCAGCAGCTGACCTGGGGAGCACCCATTGTGCTGGGGAATTTCCACCCTGCCCACTCCATCCCATGGGTCCTTCCCAACCAGCACTCTGGAGCCAGCAGGATAAGCTGCTTACAGCAGATAAGGGCTGCTGATAAAGGGAAATCATGGAAATGGAGCCAGAATTCTCAGTGTTTTGGTGCATCTCAGGTTGCTCCTCTTTCCTCTGAGGGTGGGGAGGCCCTGGCCCAGGTTGCCCAGAGAAGCTGTGGCTGCCCCTGGATCCCTGGAAGTGTCCAAGGCCAGGTTGGAGCAACCTGGGCTGGTGGAAGGTGTCCCTGCCCATGGCAGGGGTGGCACTGGGTGGGCTTTAAGGTCCCTTCCAACCCAAACCATTCCATGGCTTTACTCTGGCCTTGGCACAGCTCCCCCCTGCCCATTCCATGTCTCCTGGGCAGTTGGATTCAGACCAGCCGCGGGCACCAAACCCCCACCTGAGGCCAAAGGGCTCCCAGGCACTTCCCAATCCCATGTCCAGGTTCTCCTGTATCCCCAGGGAACCTCAGTCATGGCCTCCCACAGCTCCCAGGGAAAGCAAAGCAAGACACTCCATCCTGAGGCATTCCTTCTAATTAAGGCTAATGAATTAATCAGACCAAATAAACCACTAACACCAACAACAGGCAAACACCAACTGGAAGCTACAGTAGTGCCAGGAATTTCTGGAGGAAAGGGGAAAAAAACCAATGAAATCAAATGATGTTTTCTTAAAATACAGTCAAAAGCATTCACCTAGGCACAGGGAAGGCTCAGTGCACAGGGGTCTCTTATAATATTATTGAGAACAAAACTGAAGATATGGTTTGGTTCTAAAAGTTTAAAATTCAGAACTTTGTGTTTACCAAAGAGTTTGTTATTGTTCTGTTGTTTTTCGAGCCAGGCTGTACCTGACAGTCCCTTTAAAAGGACAGAGGCAGAAATGTCTGTGCCAGCTTATAGAAAAAGATATTTATAAAATCAACAGAAATGTTGACCATGCAAGGAATAACTCAGTGCTTTTTACTTGAATGGATACCCCTGGAACAGCTCATTACCCTTCCATTAAACCCTGAACAGCTGGACATGAGGACACTTGAAATGCTGAGGATGAAGCTTAAACTATGTCTGAAGTAGTGGAAATGGAGTCAGTCTGAACACAAATGGTCCTCTAGAAAAGCAATTAATGCTTTCATTAAAGAGCAATGCCCAACAAGTATAATATTTCAGCTCTGGTTTGTTATTTCCTACACTTGTTGCAGCGCTGTTTTCCGAACAGACATTTTCATTACAGGTACTTTTGTGTTTTATCCCTTGACCCAGTTAAAAGGTATAAGAAAATGATATTGTGCCTGTTTGCTCAATGTACACCCCTGTCTGATTTAATCACCTTCTGCAAAACAAACCCAGGCCGGCTGTTATGAAAGACAGCGGGATCCAGTCACCTGGAGCTTCAAAACTACCCGGGAACAGTAAACATAACCTACTTAGGAGAGACACAGGAACAGGCTCTGCTCACTCACTGCATTTATCTTCCCTCTGTACCTTCATTTTTAATTACAAAGATAATACTTCTGAAAAAGTCCCCTCAGTCTTTCCAAAACATGGCAGTGTCATGTTCCCCGTTTCACAAACAGATTGCAGAATTAATTCCAATTAATAGCTCGGCAGGACTCGTGGCTTTCTGCAGCTCCCTAGATGGAGGCCGGGGCTGACAGATTTACAGCCAGCACATAAGACACGACTGGCTGAGTTATCCCACCCTGCACTCAACTTGCCAAGAACACAAAGACATTTCTGTTCTGAGCTATCTCCCACAGCAAACCACAAGTTCTTGGAGCTTGTGCCCGAGATGAGCTTAGAACCTGTTTTTGGAGCTGAGGACTTGTGTTACCAGACAAAGAACTGTTACTGTGCCAGCTACACCTCACTAAAAACTGCTTTTAATCTGTTTTCTGTTGGCACAATAAAAACCAAAGGCTCTAAACTAATGCCCTGGCCTAATTATTTTACTGCAGATCCAAAGGGTTCTTTACCAGAGAAAAACACACATAAAAAACTGGGTTTGTAGCACTTCTTTCCCAGCAGAGAAGGAGGGTTGGGAGAAACCAGCAGCTATGCAGGTTGTACCTTCCCAGACCGAGGACTCTAAGGGTTTCCAGCACTCCTAGACTTCACTGACAGACCTGGCTGGGTTTTACACACCTTTCTGGCCTTAAGTAGAGCTGCCCCTCCCTTCAGCCCCTTCCCCTGCGCTCCCAACACCCACAGCTCCAGCATTTTCAATGCCCAGCATGGAATCCCAGACTGGTTTGGGTTGGCAGGGACCTCAAAGCCCATCCAGTGCCACCCCTGTCATGGGCAGGGACACCTTCCACTAGCCCAGGTTGCTCCAAGCCCTGTCCAGCCTGGCCTTGGACACTTCCCCAGACCCTTCCCAGCACGCTGGGGCAGGTGCTGAACTGGTGTGAAGGAAATGAGCCCACACTGGGTGTCCATGAGGTCCCACCACCCCCCCAGCTCTGTGGGAATGTCCACATGCCCCAACACTCTGGTCTGCCTTAGTGGGATCTCTCAGCCCAAGAGCAGGGAAGTAACACAAGCAGCTCCAGAACAAATCCAGAGCTCAGTTTTAGTTCTTCTCCCCGTAAACCTTCAGTTGTGACAACCAAACTAACTGAGGGAGAAAAGTGCTGTTTTGTTCAAGCTTCCTCCTGACATTTCTCACCTTGCCAGGAAGGAAAGGAAAACAACAGGGACACAGCAGGACAGGGTGTTTTTAAGCTGATCTTGTTGTTCTCCAAACCCAGTACTGATCAGTAATGATCTTGGCACTGCTCAGAGTTTTGTGCTAAGTTCCCATTAACCCGTTCAGCCCCTCCACAGTGTCCCAGGGATGTGTTACACCCTGAGCACACACTGTTCTTCCCTGGGAGCCGGGATCCATCAAAAACATCCAATACTTTGTCCTCTTCCAACATCTGACTTTTCTGCTAGTACAGCATTTTTCAGTTCTTAAAGGTTATAAAACAAGAAGATCTACAGTTTCTACTTTTCAACTAATTTCACACAGAACAATTTTACCCTGTCATTTAAGAAGTTATAAGAAAAAAGTGTTTTTTCTACGTCAACCTGCCACTCGGTGAGAGTGACTGTCAGCCCCTTGCCACGGGACAGAAAGGAGCATCCCACTGAGGATGTTTCAAATCCGTAGTTTTTAAGGCTGAATATTAGTTTTTCTGTTCTATTCAGAGGTGTAACTGCCAGGAATGCACAGAGAACACAGCACTACCAAACCCATGTTACCTCAAGAGTGGCTGTTTATTAGCCAGCAGTCATACACAGAATTAACAACTTTGGGGACAAAACAGCAAATACAGCAAAAATCAGCTTTGTTCATCTCTAGTAACAATGAGTTATTCTGTTATCTGAGCAGTGTCCAGACACAGATCATGACACTTCTTCAGTACTCTATCAAATGCAGTAATTACTAACTCATCAAAACCAAAGACAAATTAAATACAGAGATCTTTAAAACAGGATTTTAAATTCCTCCCAGCCTCTTTCTCACAGTCAGTGTTCTGTGGCAAGTCTCACATACAGGGAAATTTAGCTGTGATTTTAAACACTTTTTGAGGTCATCTTTTCATTTTCTTTTCTCTCATCTCCAGCAATGATGATTAACAATCCTCTAAACAGAAATAACTTCGCTTAAGCAACTAATTTTCATTATAACTTGAACAAACAAGTTGGGACAGTTTTCCCTGAGAAAGTGCTGGGATTACTTAGGCAGGACAGGCAGAGGAAAAATCTCCACACGTTGCCTCAAACAGTCCTGTCTTCTCAGGAAAAACAGTTTCCTGGAAAAAAACCCTCCAAGAGCCAGAATGCCCTCACTTGTTAGGAACAACCCAGCTTCCAGAATTCTGTGGAAAATTCCTTACCCACAGCACTGTAGCTGTGTGAGGTGGAGTTACCTGTGGATGGACGGATGGATGGATGGATGGATCCCACTGTGCCTCCCCTGGGGGTCCCTGCCCACAGCAGCTGCTCCCCAGGGGAAGCTCAGCTGGATGTGAGAGGAGAACCTGGGCACTGCCACAACCCCCCTCCAGCACACGGTCAGTGAACCCTGTGCTCTGCACTGGCCGTGAAATCACATCAGCTCACAGCCACACGCTCACACCACATCCAACCCTCCTCCAGGATTTGCCTTCCCAGGGATTTTAGCTCTGTCTGTGAGGCTGATTCACTGCCCACAACCAAACGGCCAAACCCCCCCAGTGGGGCTGAGCTTCACTCACTGCAACCACTGCTCTAAAAAACCCTCTCCCGGGATGTTCCCACCCGCAGCTGCTCCTCCCTTTGCAAATTCCCAAAGGAGAACTCTATAGGAACGGCAGGATTGTGGTCTGTGCTGTCAGGAGCACAGTCAGGACTTGCAGTCTGAGCTTCTGAAGCAATTCACAGTTCACTGTAACAGCAAGCTCAGCCCCCGGGCTGGGGTAACCAAAGCCAAGCCTGGGGGAAAAGTACTGACCAGAAACGGGGGAAAAAGGAGAGGGGGCAGATTAAGCATCACATCAGAGCCAACAGTCCCACCCCCACAGTCCCATCCCTAACCTCTGGCTTTTCCTGTAGGCACAACAGAGCACGGAGAGGGCTGTTTCCTACTGTTCTAAAACTCTAAATGCCCCGAGATTCCCCTTCCCTGCCTGCACACAAAGGGCCACAACACTCCTTTCACCTTCAATTTGGAATGAAAGGCAACTCCACACGGAGCCACGTGCTCCACACAGACCCCCGACTGACACCCAGCTCCTGCCTTAATTGCCACAACCACCCCAGAGCGGGGCTGCTCATCCCCCTCGCCTTCAGCCACGCTGCTCCCAGCAAGGGCAGCGTTATGCAGCTGAAAACTTCCAGCGCTGGACTTCGGTAACAAAATATCCCGTGGCTTTTGCACTAACTGGAATGAGTTTGGAATCATTTTATTCAGTTCAGAGACCTCCTGAATAAAACGAGGGATCTGTCTTTAAAGCACGGTTTGAAAGCATTAAAATAAAATCAGGACAAAGAAGGACAAACGGGACATGCAGAGCAGTGGGGAAAATAAACGATGAAGAGAATAGCTGGGAAAGAGGGAATGAGTGAAAAAACACACACGACACAAAGTTCTTTAAGTTCTGCACTGCTCAGACCCTACAGCACGTGGTGGGAGAAGCTACGGAGCCTCAGGACCGCCGAGGAAAGCGGCTGTGCGCAGGGAGCGGGTGTCCACCCCTCCATCCCCGTATCTATCATCCATCCATCCCTCCCTCCATCCCCGCACCGCCCGGGCGGTCCTGCCCCGGCGCTGGGCGGGCAGAGGCGGGTGCTCCCGCCCCCAAATCCCTGGGCAGGGCGATCCCCGATAAAGCCGCGGGCGCTGGCAGCGGTGCCATCCCGGCTGCCGGCCATGGAGACGGGCGGGTGCCGCATGGGCGGCGCGGGGCCCGCCGCGATCACGCTGGAGGAGCTGGACGGGCTGGAGGAGAGCCCCGACTCGGCGTACCACAGCCACGGCAGCTCCCTGGAGGAGGAGGCGGCCGAGCGCATGGACGACGAGGAGCAGGAGCGGCTGCTGAGCTACTGGCAGAGCGTGGGCAGGGGGCACCAGGTGGACGTGCCCCGCGGTAAGCGGGATAAGCCGCTTAGGGAGCGGCAGGGATCCGGGCGGCTCGGAGCGGGCGGGCGGGACAGCCCCTGGAGAACGGGCTGGGAGCGCGGCAGACAGCACAGGGCACGGCCAGAGCACCCGGGGAACCTCGGTAGCTCTGGGACACCCCGAGTCTGGGACTGAGAGAGCTAAAGCTTCGCCCGGGGCGATGCAGAGGTTCCCAGAACTGTAGCGGCACCGGGGTGACCTATTCGTACTAGAACGCATCAAGGCGAGTTTGCAGTCCTAATTAAATATTGAATATTTGCTACCTGCAAAAGCATTCTTGTTTGTAATAGCTCCTGTCAGTGCTTCAAAGAAAGATGGTTGTATTTAAAGATGGCACAGAGTAAACAAGTAAAAGGATCAACTTTGCTTTTTTGACAGCGAGCCTCCCAGGCTTATCTTAGTCGCAAATTGCTCATTTTCAATTTTAAGAAAGACTGGAGAATCTGAAAGACTGTAACAAGCCAGGTAACTCCAAACAAGCAGCAGAGTCACTGCAAACTCAGCTCAATCAGAAACTGTAACTGCTCAGAGAAGCAGAGAGATCTGAACCATCTCTGCTGTCCAGGTAACTCACCTTCCCCGAGGTGGGAACCAGAAACCCTGAACAACAGACCGCTCTAGACACCACCAAAATGAAATCACTGCTATTTAAAAACTCTTCCTGTAATTCAGTGCAGCAAAGAGAGTCCAAGCTCCTTTTCAATTCATACCTTGAAGTCTCATCTTAACTTAGTAGTGGTTTAACACTGAAAATTAACACGCTGAAAGAAGGGTAGGATGACTCTGAACAGAGTTCTCTGCCTTGCCTTGCTCTCAGTGCCCTCAGAGGGGTCTCTGGATGCCCTGTGCCAGCAGTGCCATCCCATAGTTTCAATGCACACTTCAGCAGCCCCACGGTTGTGTCTGGAATCAGCACATCAAATCCACAGGGCAGGAGGGAGGGGGAGAGGAGGGAGATCCCCTTTAACACCCCGAGTGCAGCATCAACAGCTGGAGGCCAAAGGGCTCCTTTAGAGCAGCAGCAAACTCATTCCTTCCCACAGAATTCCCTGGTGGTGTGATACATGGTGAAACCCTGCACTGAAACTCCTAAGGTCCCCCAGGAAGGATACAGAGTCCAGGAAATACGTCCAAAGTAGCATTTGACCACATTTCAGTTACTGTGTCATAGAAGGGTTGCTCTGTGACACTCAGCAAATGTTGCAAAAAGTAATACAGAGTAATAGAAGGTCTTTCTTCAGGTCCTGCCCAGGGCCCGGGGGAGGCAATGGAGGTGACTTTCCAGGAGGAGGAATCCCCCTGGCCTGGGAGAAGCCACCTCTCTTCACTCTCTGCTCCCTGTGACAGGGACAGGACCCAGGGAAGGGCTGGAGCTGTGCCAGGGCAGGGTCAGGTTGGATCTCAGGGCAAGGTTCTTCCCCCTGAGGGTGGTTGGCACTGCCCAGGCTCCCCAGGGCTGTGGGCACGGCCCCAAGGTTGCCAGAGCTCCAGGAGGGTTTGGATGATCCTCTGGGGCACAGGGGGGATTGCTGGGGTGTCCTGGGCAGGGCCAGGGGTTGGACTGGATGGTCCTTGGGGTCACTGCAGCCCTGACTGCAGCAAACCCAGCTTTGCTGTCCCACTGCTCCCTGCCAGCCTGGCCCCGGGCAGGCAGAGCCCTCCACACCCGGGCTACAGGAGGCACAAATTCACCAGCTGAGGGACAAAACTCCCAGGACTTTAATTAGTTTTAATCCCTATCCCGTGCATTCATATGGAGGGAAAAAATACAACCCACCCATTTATCAGTAAAGTGATCTAAATATAGAGTTAACTTTTCTTGAGTCCTAAAATGCTTCCTAATTCTTGGAAAACTAAGTGCTGAAGGCTAATCTACTTTTTACTTTTTCCTCAGCCTCCAAAGAGATCAATTTTATATGTCAGTTATTAGTTACATTTTCAATGTTTCTCAGTTACATACTTAAAAATGTTTCAAATTATCTCTAATGTAGCTTCCTCACCTTTATTTTTTCCCTCTCATTTGTTTAAAGATCTTTGCTGTTCCAAATAGTCTTAAAGCTAAAGCCCTGCACTGGATGTCAGGACATGGAGGTTTGATTCCCAGCTCAGCTACAGATTTACCAAGTGACCTCGGCCAAGTTAATTCTCCTGCATCTTAATTCTCCTCTTCCCTGAAACATGGATAATGCTCTCTTCCCCCATTATCCTGCCTTTTCCACTTAAGATCCTGAGGCACTTAAAACACCCAGGAAAAGAGCTCTTCCAGCTGGAATGTGTCCTTTTCCTGCATGTCCAGCACACACCATGAGGGAGCAGGGCAGAAATCCACACCCAGGCTTCCAAAGCACATAAAACTGAATTTCTAATCCTCTATCAAAGCACACAAATGCCTTTATCACTTCAGCTTTGGAAGGCAAGGGACCAAGTCCTCTGGAAGAGAGGCTTCCCATACCTCAGACTAACCTTATATCCACAGCTTCCAAGCCTGTCTGTCAGGGATCAACTCCTAAGCAGAGTTTATTTAGGAACTTCAGCCAGGATTGATGTCAGGGCAACCACAGTTACAAATACATCTAATCCAACCACACTGAAATGGCTGAACTGTAGGAGAACAGAAGTTCTAGAAAATGCCAGTTTTATTTATGGAACTATCATTTATTTGCTCCTTTTATTCACTGGAGCTGGGCTGGAAACAGCAACAACACAGGCCTTGCACTCGACATATGTCCTGACTAATAATGCACTGAAATAGAGAGGCATCAAGGAGATGCATTTTACTTCTTTTAAGAACTAATAATACTTACATTTTTACCTATATAGAGAGATATAGATAGATACAAAAAGTAAATGCAGAAACATCAAACTCTAAGGTAAAATTAGACATTAAACACCTGTAGGAAATGAGTGTCCACAGCAGTATTCCCTTGAGCCTCTGACCAGGAGCAGCCAAGCCAAGTTACCTCATGTGGATCCACAGGATTCCAGCACCAGGAGAGTTACCAGAACTGGGAATGTCACCTGCACAGAGCCAGAAACTGGCCCAGAAAACTTGGGGAACTGCAAATATGAGGAGTGGGAGAGGGAAACCTTTTCCTAAGGGTACAGAGGCAGGAGCCAGGGAACCTTTCCTTAGGGAAGTTCTTTCCTTTCCTAGTGAAGAACAAACTAAACTGGTTCCAAAGTCCCCAGTGCTTAACTAAGAGAAGGAATCAACACATTTCAGTCTAATTTTTAAGTCTGAAGTGGGATCTGTGTCCTTGTGTTGCAGACATGGCAGAGCCAATCCAGCAGCTGACCAGGAATAACAACCCCCAGGAGAGACAGACCATCCCCTTCACCCTGATCCAGCGCAAGGAAAAGGTACTGCTGCCCTCCCCAGCTGGGCTGGGCACCCACACCTCACTGCCACAAATACGGCTCCTTATCCAAGCCTTTCAACCAGGCAGGATTTCCACAAATATGGCTCCTTATCCAAGCCTTTTAACCAGGCAGGATTTCCACAAATATGGCTCCTTATCCAAGCCTTTTAACCAGGCAGGATTTCCACAAATATGGCTCCTTATCCAAGCCTTTTAACCAGGCAGGATTTCCACAAATATGGCTCCTTATCCAAGCCTTTTAACCAGGCAGGATTTCCACAAATATGGCTCCTTATCAAACCCTTTTAGCCAGTTAGGATTTCTAACCCCTCAAGTGCAAAGCATTGTAACTGTTTAACTCATTTCATCTGGAACACCTCACCCCTTTAACAAGTGATTTTTCCTTTTTGTAAAGTAAAAACTCTCAGGCAACTCAGAAGATAGCCAAGAATTACAGCCTTTGTGACATTTTATAACTGATTTAACAAAAAAAATCCCATATTTTGACATTTGAAATTGGTTCTTTAAATCTGCTTCTTTGCACAGTCACGTGAATAAAACCTTAGCAAAGAGTACTTGAAAGAGATTAATATCTGAATTTCAAACCAAAGATGTACTTTTGTCTCACAGATCATTACCAAACAAAGCAGCAATTTGCAAACCCATCTCCTCCTCTAATAAAAATCTGAAATGGATGGGAGCAAATTGCTTCCAGCTCAGGAAATGTGCCAACAAGGGTCTAACCTTAAATCAATAAACCCAGAAAACCTTTACTAACCACCTATGAAGACTTTTTGTCACATTTCTTGTAAATAATAAGTCACATTTATAAATATCATAATTGGAGCGTGTTTCATCTGAACAGTTTGGGACTCCTGACCATTTTATGTTGTAATGAAAAGCAAATTCTCAGTACCTACTGTAACAAATGCAGCTAAAAAATAAGGTTGTTCAGTGTTAATTGCAAATAAATGGTTAATACAGTCCCAAGAAATGTCAGTTCCTTATTTTGAAGGAGAACTACCCAGAAATCTGCTGAAATAAGTTGTGGTCCAAGGTCAGCAGTGTATCCCTTCCTGTGTTTATATTGAATAAATGATTGGTATATGTTGATAAATTGAGGAAGGAATGAAATTCATGTTCCTTTCAAGATCACCTCCCTGACAGCTGGGAAAAGATGCAGTTGTTCTGGTGCTAAAGGTGTATTTGTTTGTGCTGCTGATATTGAAATCCTAAATCCTTCCCTTTGTGATTGCAGCTGGGAGACCTGCTCTATGAAAAAAGGCAGTACGGGAAGGCCAAGTGGGCCTGCATAAAAATGAAGGAGAAACAGTACGAGCAGAGCATCTGCCTGGGCTTCATGAAGCTCATGAGGTACATCTGTGAGCAGAACTCCTCAGGTAATGGGCACCACCATTCTGCACTGCACTTACACAACTGCATTTATGCACTTAGTTCCCTAATTGGGGAGGTGCTTTTATTAGCTTTCCCAAATCCACCACCCCGGCTCCAGCCTTTCCAGAAGGATCACAGAAATCATGGAATGGGTTGGGTTGGCAGGGACCTCAAAGCCCACCCAGTGCCACCCCCTGCCATGGGCAGGGACACCTTCCACTAGCCCAGGTTGCTCCAAGCCCCGTCCAACCTGCCCTGGGACACTTCCAGGGGCAGCCACAGCTTCTGTGGGCAACCTGGGCCAGGGCCTCACTGCTGCTTCCAACTTGGAATACACGGCCCCAGTGCCTAAAACACCCTGTTAGTAACCGTGGGGGGTTACTCAGTGTGAGTTCAGCAGTCCAGCACAGCACATAAACACTCCTACAACACCCTGTGTCCCCAGGGCTGTACCTGGGCATCACCATCCCCATCGTGACCATCGTGCACACCAACGAGTCGCAGTCGGCGATGACCCCGGCGGTGACGGTCGCCTACTACCTGCCCGAGGTGCTGCAGGACGAGCCCCCACACCCCTTCGACTCGGACATCAGCATCGAGGAGTGGCCTTCCACCATCGTCTACAGCAGGTCAGGCACGGCGGGCTCTGCTCTGGGAAAACTGGGAAAACGGGCAGCTCTCAATCTGGGCATGGCACGTCTTTTAAACCAAGTTATAAAAGGTAACAAGTGGCAAAACTTGTAAAAGCTGCCTGGAGATAATGGTTACCAATTTATATGAGACACGCTCTTCCCCCAGAGGGTGGTTGGCACTGCCCAGGCTCCCCAGGGCAGTGGGCACGGCCCCAAGGCTGCCAGAGCTCCAGGAGGGTTTGGACAACACTCTCTGGGACGGGGGAAGATTGTTGGGGTGTCCTGGGCAGGGCCAGGGGTTGGACTGGATGATCCTTGTGGGTCCATTCCAACTTGGGATATTCCACGGTCCCATGAATTAACTGGTATACTGATGCATCTGTAAAGGTGTGATAAAACAGCATCAGGCTGTTCTGTGTAGTTGGGAGCAAAGCAGCTTTGTCCCTGCCATGTCAGATAAGATCTACCACAGCATCACTGGTGACACACAACCAAATCATTTAGAAGGCTCCAGAAAACCTGGATGTTAAAAAGAACCTGACATGAAGCTGATTGTTGCAGGAGCTTCAGGGGCATCACCAACGAAGACTCGATCATGAGAGAGATCAGCGTGCTGGCAGCCATCCTGGAGAGCCCCGAGCTGTGCCTGCAGGACACCTTCATCATCGCCGGCTACACCAACCCCGCCGCCGCCAACCGCCACAACGAGATCTGGTTCCTGCAGCGGCCCTGACCCGCCCGTGCTGCCCTGAGCTGCCTGTGCTGCCCTGCTCCCCCAGGCACAGCTCCCAGCTCACCCACACACTAGGTGCCCGACCCAGAGAGTTCAGCGACGGGGCTTTGAGCCCCGGTAGGAGGCAATCCCCCAGCTCAGTCACCACACCCAGGTCACCCCAACACAGTCCCCTGTGTCACCTTGGACAGTCTCTACACAATTTTAATGAGGGTTTTAGCACTTTATAAGTTAGTTCACCTTATCTTTTGTTTACAAGATAAGGCAGGCAGAGACCTCTCCCCTCATCCACTCGCTGGCATCCCTAGACTGCTTGTGGCTTGGGATGGTCCCTGGGGAGACCCTGGAGCTCCTGCTCTGGGCACCCGGTGCTGCACAAAGACCCCGCTGGGGCAGTCAGTGGGAACACACCAAACCCACCTCAACATGCAGAAAAAGAATGTCCAGGTCGTAGTTCCTGAAGGGAACTACCAGATTTAGCCCCCTGGGACTGACCCAAGGAGTCAGAGTAGACCAGTGCTGACTGCTTTGGATGTCCTCATCCGTGACACAAATCCTAATGCTTACCTCACAAAGCACCCAACCAAAGGACTTTTAGTCTGGAGAAGAGACCAAAAAGGCACCACAGTCCTAATGCTCATTGAAGTTTTGATAGCAAAGTTACAGGTTACCTTAATCCCACACTCCCAGGAACCCCGTGACTGTCTCTGGCATTCCTAAATAGCCACTGGTTATTTTTAACTCCAGTTTTCTGAACGCTTTTTTCTCACGACTTTGCTGGATGCTAAAACACTGCAGCGAGGTAATTAATTTGTTCAGTCCTTCTGCCACACCATTAATGTAATAACTGACACAAATATTCACAGAATCACATAAAAATCCCAGCTAGAAGTGACCTCTGCAGAGAGAAGGGCCAGGCAGAGCTGGCTGCTCTGGGTCTCACACGCCTGGAGTTTGAGCAGCTCCAGGGATGAGGAGTCCACAGCCCCTCTGGGCCCTGCTGCAGTTTGACCACCCTCACTGTGAGAATTTTTTTCTTCCTAATATCCAGCTTGTGGTTTCTTTTGCCCTCCACCCCCAGGATAATCCTGCAGGCAGACAGCTGCCCGCCTGGCAGGAGGGCTGAGAGCAGCATTCCCACTGTTTCACACAGCCCAAGGGCACCTACTGCACTTCAGAACTGGGGTAGCAAACAGTTTTGCTCTCAAAAAATCCCTCCTGAATGTCTCCCCCTACTGATATGAAGGCAGAGTTTATGCTTAATAGAAGTGTCTTTTTATATAAAATTTATGGAGTATATCACCAGCATTATTTATTGGTTGCAGGATTTGGGGTTTAAACAGAGCTTTGTGCTCTCTAATCACAACCTACAGACCAGCAACCAGAGCCAGTGGCTGCTAACTCCCAGCAGAGTGACAAAATAACTCCAGGCATGGATTTATGGAGTACTTCTGGAAGAACCTGAAGCCTCCTGTTCCCACTGGCTTTAAGCTTAACCCAAAGCCTCTCCCTGAGCAGCAGGATCAGAGTGCAGCTGGCCCTGGCTTAAGTGGGACCAAGGTACCCTCTGGTGCTTGCTGGGCATGGAGATTCCTTGGGACGCAGCAAGGAGAGGGGGAAAATGGAAAAAGAAAATAAAAAGAGAGAGAAAAGCCTTAGTTTTAACACAAACAAACCAACAGTCCTCGTGGGGAGGAAAATCCCAGACCAACAAAAGTGCAATGAAGGATCTCAGCCTGGGAAAAGGAAAATTAAAAATGCCAGCCAGTATTAAATTAAAAGCTCTTAGCTAACAGAAAACAATAAAAAGTTTTTAAAAATTCAGTTGAATAGAGGGCCCAGGGAGGAAGGTTTTGTCCTCAACACACCCCCCCCGCCAAGATTTTTAAAAGAGCAAATACAAATAATTTTTTTCCTTTGGCAAGATTTTCTGCCAAATTAAAGAGGTTTCTGCAATCTGATTGCTTTTGCCAGTTAGAGAAATTATCTTACTGCTTTGGCACAACAGATGCTGAACAGTCCTTGGAAGCAGTGAAATCCTCCCACCATACAGCACCAGTTTGTACACAGTTCACATTTCAAACCTCTGCTGCAGAAAGCCCTTGCTGTGTCTGGTGTCCCCTCCCAGGGCAGCCCAAGCCCTGCCGTGACTCGGCTCCTGGTCCTGCAAACATCCCTGTCCCTGAGACAGGAGCAGTGTGTCTGTGTGCTGATCTCCCACTGCAGCCAAGCCTCCCCCGCTGTTCCTGGCAGACTGTGAACTCCCACATAGTATTTATTTATTTTGACTCGTGTTAGATGGCTTCTGCTGCTGAGAAAAAAACTACACCTCCCGTTTGAAGATACACTTTATGGCTGTGGAACGTGGAACAGGGCTGTAACTGGCCCTCCTGAGCACAGGGACCAAGAATTCCAGCTTTTAACTGGCACACAACAAGGTTTATTTAGTTGTTACACCAGTGAATGCCAAGCAAACAGTACTATGACTCCAAATTCAAAACTTCATGTCAAGAATGATCACCTGGGAACAGGTATTTAATTATCCATCCGTGGCTCTCCTTTGGAAGCCACTCGTGGATTTTCATTTTTAATTTGAAGCTGTTAGATTTCCACTGTCCAAAGGAGGTAATAAAACAGCATTCACCCCCATTTTTGGAAGATTAAACGATGTAGCCTTAACAGATGAGTGTTGTCCTGCATACTGTGTATTTTCCAAACAAGCATTAGTGCCTAAAATGTTTATTCCAGCTATTGTGATACTCAGGGCCTTGCTTACTGTATGTAAACACACATAAACAGAGTTTCTGTGGCATTGGTGCACTGTGCTGTTTGACACTGTCCTTCATCCCCACTGACATGTCCTGTTTCCTGGTCCTGTCTGTCAGCATTAAAGATCCTGATTTCCTTGTGCAGAGCAGCCCTGGCTCTCACTCCTGGAGCAGGGTGGGAGCAGCAGGAGGCACAAGCTGCTGGGCTGATTTTACCAAAGCCACCTCAGCCCCAGACTGGAAATGGTCACTTCGAGAAACTGAGGAACAGGAACCACTTCCCAAAGGGCTGAGGCCTCCAAGGCTAAGGCTTGGCTTGTCCAGACAACACAAACCATCCTTTCACACCCTCTGCGTCGGTACAAATTGTATTTCCTAAGAACATCAGGAGCAATTCAAATGCAAATACCAGATCAAAGCAAGGAAACAGTAACCACTGAAGCCACAGTGCCAACTCAGGCAAGGTTTGTGCAGCCAAACAAATCTCAAGTGAAGCACCTCAAAACAAATCCCTGCGCTCACCAGAGCACTCAGAGGCACCTGCAGTGATGCAAAACTACCTTTAAAGTTTCTCTTTAAAGCTTATGAGTGGACCTTCCTCATTTAAATAGCTCTCAGGTCACTGGTTTGAAAACAGCTGATGCACTCACAAGTTTCCCTTCCAGTGGTGTCCACATAACTACACCAAGACCATTAAAGTTTAAGCAAAACCATACTCTGAGGTCTGATACTAAATTAATCCCAGGGGTTTTTATGCCTCTTACCGAACACAGAGCACACATTTTGAACTTCTCAAAGCTGTACCTTATGTAATACCATTTGCCTGAAAATCTCTTCCATATTTGAACATTACAAATTGGTTAAAAAAAAAAAAAAAGGGAAAAAAAAGAAAAAGGAAACAGCTCTCAGAATAATAAGAAAAGAAAATCAACCAACAAAAAAACCCCCCACAAACAAAACAAAAAACCCCAAACAAACAAACAAAAAAAAATAAAAAATAATCAAGGGAACTAATTACACTTACAGATGACTTAAAACCCTGAAGAATATTCTCTAACATAGAAAATGTTTCAGAAAATCCACATACAGACTTCATAAGGCATTCCCAACATCTGAATACTTTAATCCTACTAAATTCAGCCAAATGCAGGAACCCTCAGTTTAAGTCTGGTGCCAATTCTGCAAAGACTCCTGAAAAAAGGATGAGGAAAGTAATTCCATTCTCAGTTTTTCACCTGAGCTTTTTAAGGTCACAGTGGAGTTGAGACCATGTTTTTTCTTTGCCTTGTGCCCAAAGTTATCTGCATAGGAAGGTGTTGCTTTTATAAGCTACAGCAAGTCTAGGCAGAGATATTCATGTATTTCCTGTCACTGGCCAGTGACCAACAAAGAACAAACAAACTGACCTGGATGTAAATGTTCTGAATTCCTACCAGCTCTTCCCCAAGTGGCACCACGATTTTTTCCACTTGTCTCTCGTAGGAATAAGGCTGGATTTCTGGGGAATCCTCAGCACACACCTCTATCTGAGCGATCAGTAAGTTGGAGATAACCTGCTGCACAGCCTGGCAGAGAGGCAAAAAAAGAAAAATTACTATTCCCACAGTTTAGCAGGGCTTGAATACATTTGTAAGGAAAAGCTACCCACTGCCCAAGATGGAAAACAAAAGACTCTCCACTTAGACACCTCAAGCCAAGAGCCAAGACTGTAAATAAATTCAGTTTTCATGTGGAACTGTAACATACTTTAGTACCTTGCAGTGTTCAAACTGGTATTACACACAGTTTCTACTCCAATTTGATTATCTGAAGCACACAAGTGGGGTTGGCTCACCTTGGTGTCACTGCCTGGTGTGGCACTCAGGGCCAGGATCCGAAACTGGCTCGTGTATTTGCTCAGCTCCCTCACAACCTGCCAACAGGGAACTTTCTGTTAATACCTTCAAAGGAGATTATTTCCTTACACAAACTATATCAAGGAAAATACCCACCAAGAAGGAAAAGCTTAACAAAACGCTCTGAAAATATTCAATCACAGAATTGTGGTACGGTTTGGGTGGGAAGGGACATTAAAGATCACCCCATTCCACCCCTGCCGTGGGCAGGGACACCTTCCACCAGCCCAAGTTGCTCCAAGCCTCGTGCAACCTGCACTGGAGCACTTCCAGGGATGGGACATCCTGGAAGTGTACCAAGAACAACCCTGGTAAATTATGAAATGATTTCTCACTTGATTTAACAGAAAGATTAAGAGCACACTAACTCAGGAGAGCTGCCAAGAAGTCTGAAGATCAACTCTTTTAAAAAAAAGTAAATCATGGATAATAAGTCCCATGAAATCTGAACTCCACAGGTATTACACACATATTCCACTTAATTTCTCCAGTATATAAAATTTACTTTTGAAATCTCCCATTGCTATGAGATTATTGCCACGATAATACAACAAAGTCTTTGTTGATCAACACAAACCTCAATTTTAAAAACAAAACTTGAACTGATTTTACTAAGTTAAAGAACCTTACAAAAAAACCCCACACCTTTTTTTTTAAATTGCCTCAGTCAAAAAGATATTTCAAAACAAAAAATACAATTTAATTCAAGCATGAGAAAAATACCTTACAGGTATTACTTAATAACAAGGCAGTGACAATGTACAGGAGTGTCTGATCTCTTTCAAAGTTAAGGACCTCAAGAACAATCTCCCCACAGCAGTGATAGTGACACTTTATGAAGATCCTGAGGTGACTCTGGGGTTTTGTCACTGGGAGAGAAAAAGGGGTGTCTCCAGCATTACCTGGCAGTAGGCATGATTCCCAAGGGCTTTGTGGGCTTCATCAATAACCAAACATTTAATGTCCACAGCGGGACAGGTGCCACGAGAAAGGTCATTGACCATTATCTGAGGGGTAAGGAAAAGGACTCTCTTGGTATTCCACAGTTCCCGGCGGCCCAGAGCTTGGGTTCCTCCTGGAAATAAAGGAAATAACATCAGGGAGCTGTTCTGCTCAGAGTAAAACACAGCCCAAGATCTGAGAAGGACAGCAGAAGCCAGCAGGGGTGGCAGACACAGGGACCCCCAGACTGGTTTGGGTTGGAAGGGACCTTAAAAACCATCTTATTCCAAACACTGCCATGGGCAGGGACACCTTCCACCAGCCCAGGTTGCTCCAACCTGGCCTTGGACACTTCCAGGGATCCAGGGGCAGCCACAGCTTCTCTGGGCAACCTGGGCCAGGGCCTCCCCACCCTCATTGAATACAACAACGAGGATGAATTTATTGCATTAAAACACTAAATCCAGAACGATGGAAATGAAGGCTGGGAAGCTCAAGATGCCCCACAGCTGCCCACAGCCCTAAACCTCACCTACAGCACCTCCGGGAAAGGTTTGTGCCTAAAAACAGCTTAAGGCTATTGCTGCAGCGAGCAATAAGATGCAGCTGGGGGGGTCTGCAAAAACTTTATTAAAATGGGGAAGAAGGAAAAAGAGGGGGAAAGGGGGAGAGGGAGGGGAAGGGATAAACGGGAATGTGGGAAAGGCAAAGGAAGCGGGGGTGGGAAAGGACAAAAGGAAGGGGGAAAGGGGAGGGGAAAAGCAAAAAAAAAAAAAAAAACAAACAGGAAAAAAGAGCCATTATTCTTTGGCTTAAGCTTCACGCAGAGCACACTGTGTGTTAACACCCGCAGGCTGCGACCCATAGGGCTGCACCGCAGCGCTCCACCACCCTTTACACGGGCGACCTGGGGCTTTAACTACTACAAAACCAACGGTTTACCCTTTCAAACATCTCTTTATTCCCCCCCTCCG